CGGGGCGGAGGGAAATTTCGGCCCCCCTTATTTAGGTATTTCAATTTAAAAGACCAAAATTCAGTTTTGTCACAGAACAAGCAATGAAAAAATCGGTGGTAGTGCAGCGACCTGTTTAAAATAGTTCTATTGGATATTAGTGGTGTATATGAACGCGAATGAATCGTACAAGAAAAGGAAAAAAAAAGGTCAACAGGTTTCGCAAGAATTCCTCGGACGAAAAAGTTACTAGTTCACCCGGCGAGCCGATTCTCGGACTGTCCGGACGATAGCACTATCGCAGGCGCGATGCAAATATAAATTAGGATGTTTCAAATTTTTACAAGATATTATTATTATTTATTGTGAAATTTTGCCGCCCCCACTACGGTACGCCACTGCTTACCGTAAAGAACTTGGCTTCTATTATACTATTTTAGATGCGGTTTTTTGCGTTTTAATAGGGTACATCAACAGAACGTACACTAAGAAGGGATTGTTCGATATTCCTCCGCGGGGGAGAGGGACAGAATTAAGGCTTACCTTGAAGAACTTGGCTTCTATTATATTATTTTAGATGCGGGTTTTTGCGTTTTTTGATTGCGTTTTAATAGGGTACGTCAAGAGAATGTACACTAAGAAGAAATTTTCGAAAAATTCCCCCCCACGGGGGAAGTGTTATACATTTATAATAGATACATTTTGAGCCACAACACGTGGCGGTGTCTGCTAGTATTAAATAAAATGGATATCCCACATTTTTGGGTTCAGATAGTCTCAAAATGTGGAGATTTGCAGAAAACCTGGAGGATCAAGTTTGATACAATTCTCTTATGTATATACATAACTGGGAAACTAAAAGGCAACAAATCTTTCTTCTTTATATACTGTTTTTATATTACTATTATCAGATATAAACTTTATGAAATCAAGATACTGTATTTAGAATTATTTATAAATAATAGTTTCTATTGTAATAACAGTAACTTATATATCTATGTATTTAGAACTTTTTAAATATTTCCAAATCCTATTGATAATTAAATATTTCGTTAAAATATAATTTTTGTAATTGTTTTTAAAATGATAAACATCATTTTTTAATTTGCAATCACATTTATTATTAGTTAACTGTACAAAATTTTCATTTCCAACACCAGCATAAAAGAATTAAAGTTTACTAAAATTTTTAAATCAAATGAAAAGATTCAAGGTAACTAAATACCTTTGAATAAACAGGAGTTTTAGCAAATTCCTGGAATCCACGAAGTGAACACAATATGGCAAGTAGTTGTAGTTTGGTGTAATAGTTAATTTCTTCATAAGTTTCTAAAAGTAGAAAGAAATCCAAGATTTTTGCAGTTAGATTATTCCAAATTGGAGTTTGTAATATATTAGGTAAAACTGCAGGTAAAACAGATAGTAATGATTGTTTATTGTCATAAAAATTAATCATATAGGTCATTTGTATCCCTGAATAACTTAATATTGAACATGCAAAAATACTTAATAAGAAATCAATTTGATCAGATGTGGATGAATGTTTTATTGTTGTTATAATTCTATTCATTATTTCCAAAAGCCAGTCAGCAGCCACTTTTTGTTTTGAAATATTTTCTTTAATATCTATATTTTGATGAATAAAAAAGTTCAGAAATTTTTTGATAATTTGATGTCTTATTTGATCATTTGAATATAAAGCTAGATCTATACAAAAATGTAAACTTGCAAGAGTTAACTTATCTTTTTTCAATAGTTCACAACATAAAACTATTGCAGGTAAGGCACTCACATTTTTAATTATATTTTCTAACAATTCTGAAGGAAATTTCAAAAGACAATTACACATAGTATTTGTCAAATTTAAATGCTGAAATAAATCAAAATGCTTTTCGAATGAATTATTAACTATATGTGTTATCACATCTTTTAATATTTCATTAATACTTTCATTTTGATTTTTAGAAATTGCTTCATATAGTGCATTAAGAACCATTGCTCCATTTTCCTGTAATTGTTTCTCTGTTAAGAAAACTGGGACAATAATAGATGAAAAAAATAAATTTAGTTTAGTAGCAGGTAAACATTTTAACAAAACAGGAAGTGAACATACCAAGAACTGTTGACATTTTATAGGTAATGAATTGAATTTAAGTGGTGTAGTTAATGTGGAAAGTGATAATGCAGCTGTTGATGATGACGATGATTGGGAAATAAATATTTTTAAACATTTGTTTATGGTATCATCGTTGCTTTGAAGAAGAGGATTAAGAACTGCTGTCCATGAGATTGGAGGAAAAGGTTTTGAATATTTTCTGCCTAGCACATTAAGACATAGATTGAGATGGTTGATAAGAGATTGATGTTTAGCAGATTTCGATATAAATCCTATAATGGCCCTGAGTAAATATTTTTCATGCAAATATAAATAATTTGTTGGAAGGGATGATGATGATATATATCCACCACTTATACTATACAATTCTCCTAATAACCATGAACTAGTATTTTGTAAGACCACATCTTTTGGTTTTTTAAATAATCTCATCATTAATTGAATCATTTCACTTATTTCTTTTATATTAGTTTCATTTTCCAAATCAAATACACATACATGGTTAAATTTTGTAAATAAAGAGCTCAAACCTCTCAAAGCAGCAAGTTTTTGTAAGTTTGGTTTTTCTTCTGATGATAGTATATTCATCCAATTATTTAAAAGTTCCATTCTTTTCTCTGAAACAAATTCATATCCTAAGTTTGTTAACATACCAACAAATGTACCTATAGATACAGCTATACCACTACTTTGTGATTGCTCTTTGTGACAATTGTCAATCCATGAAAAGAATTCTTTACATTGTTCAAATGTTATGATATTAGCATGCATTGCAGAGACAGTAAGCATAACAGTACATTGACACAAAATATCATAAGATAACGATAATGGATCTGCTTTCTGTAACATATTAATATAAAATTTCCATATATTCTGGGTATAATTTTTAATGGAATCATCATCACTTTGATATAATGATAAGATAGAAAGTGATAAACCAATTATGGAGCCAGGCATCAATTCTTCATTTTCTTTAATGATGTCTTCAATTCTCTTAATTGTTTTTAAACACATTTCTGTTTGACCCACATTAGCTACAGACTGCAAAAATAAACCTAAACCAATTCCAGAATGTAACTGTAAAACTGCATTTGCTTTGGGTGATAATTGTTCTAATAATAAATCTGAAATAATTCCAATACAATCATAACCTGATCCCATTAAAAAGGGAACTAGGTGAAAAAAAGATGTAGCAGTACATCCACGTAACACAGAACTTCCAAAACCAGACTTCTTTCCATGAACCAATAACCAACCTATGACTTCTGAATTTGGCTTCCTTGAAGGATCTAATATACATATCATAGTTTCTGTAATTTTCAGAATAAATTCAAGATGATGTTCTTCAGAATTTTCCAATTTATAGCATTTTGCAGTATTTTCATATTTCCAAAAAGAAACTGCCAATCCCACAACTGCCATTATAGCATTTGCTGGTGTTGAAGGTTTCTCTTTGGATTGTCGTTTAATTATTTCTAATAAATTTTCTCGAACAGCTGTTAAAATTTCTTTTCGATTTTCTGTTTCAGTATTTTTATTTGAATCTTTCTTCTCTAATTCCTCACTAGCAAACATTCCTTCAATACATGAGAAAAATGCCCTATCCATGAATGAATTCCATGCAAATGACAATAATACACATTGCCACCATTCTGAAATATCAATTGTGATATCTTGAAGTAATGCTTCTAATATTTGTTGATAATAATTAGATTGGGCTATCAATGATTGCTTAGTAGGTAAACCATACTTATCAACTTCTACAGGTGGATGATAAGATAAAAGTACACCAAGAGCTAAATTACTTTGTAAAATTGGCTGACGATTACTACTATACTTCATGCACAAAAACTGAGGAATCTCATCTATTATATTATCATGCTTTGATGGTTTTGCTGCCATTTTTGCTGAATGATACACACTTTGAGGTAAATCATCAATCTCAAAATTTAACAATCCTACTAAGAATTCTTCATATCCTTTAAGAATATCTTCATCATTTATTGATTCTAATAAATCTGTAAAACAAAAACCAGGAACATACCCAAGTCTGTCTAATGGATCTTTTCCCAAATCAAGAGGTGAAGATGCTTTTGGTGAAATAATATTTTTTGTAGCAACATTTGGAAGTATTTTCAAATGATGGAATTCAATTGGAAACTTTCCTAAAGCTTCATAAGCAGCAGAGATACTAACAGGATTATTTTGTTTACTTACATGTTTCCAGAGCATACTTACAACTTCTGTCATGAACTTTTCATATGAGGATGACATCACCCTCAGTTCAGGAGCAAGACTTAATAATTTATAAAGATGCTTAAGAACTAATGGCCTTTTATCATTAGTGAGTTTTCTTGCAAGTGTTTTCCATGCACTTTTTATATCAATTTCTCCAGCTTTACACAAGTAAAATATACCATTTAATGCTAAGGCCACAGCAGGACTACTGGCATCACTTGTACATTTATTAAAAATATCTGACATATGCTTTAGTATAAAAATACCAAAGTTTTGAGGATGAGTCTCACATATTTCTTTCATAGCAACAGCTTTAGCAACTAATACTTTGTCACAGGAAGAATTTGTAGAATCTTTAATTTCTTCTTCAAGAAGTTGTTTAAGATAAGGAAAACATCTAATTTGCTTTTTCCAGAGCAGGATCATTAAATGAATTCCTTCAGGCTTTAATTTATGATGATTGATGAAGTATTGTATAGTATTTAGAATAACACCAATAGAATAATTGTGTGTTGCTAGACTAGGTAGAGATTCTGTAATAATTAATTGAGTATTGGGATCATGTTCAACATTAAGTTTATACAAAAATAATGATAATAATGACAATGACTGGCTTGGTTCAATAACTGCAACATATTTTAAAACATCAAGATATTTTCTAAATAATGATAACTGTTTAACATTTATGAACATATTACATAATATATTTAATAAAAGAGGTTGAACAGAATTTGATGATTTTATAAAAGCTGAGATTTTATCAATCCATTCTTCTTGATTATTAATTTCATCAAGAGTAGCAATAAAATATACACTATTTACAATTTCTGAAATTAATGGATTGAAACTGCAAATCAATAAACATTTCTCACTTTCATTTATCCAATATTCTATATTATGATTCAAAAATTTACACATGAGAGTTCTTTCAATTATTAAGAAAATCTCAGCAGCAATGCTTTTTATATTCTGTATTGAATCATCATATTCTCTAGTTAAAACATTTAATATTGGTAATATTAACATTCCCAATATAGAAGCTGAAAAATTATTTTTGCAATCAACTGGTGAATCACTGTCAAATTGTACATGAAAATTTTGCAACTTTAATACAAGTTCTCCAAAAGATAGAATATGATAAAGATCAGAATCTACCACACAATCAATAATTACAGATAAGAAAACAATACATGCATTTTTAATATAGAAGCTAATATCTTTTTCGACAACTAACTTTTTACAAACTGTTACAATATTTATGATATTGAAGCCATAATCAATAGCATCTTTGCAAACAGATAGTGTTATCAATAAGAGCATTTCTTTTTCTACCTTAGTTGCACATTGAGTATATTCAGATAATTTTTCTATTAAAATAATCAATTTTATCAATTCAGTTTTAGTTTTTGTTTGTATAAGTGGTAAGAATGAATAAATAAATTTTATGTTATCAATATTTGAAAATAATTCATAATGAATATTGATATTAAAGAAATCATCACAAGACTGCAACGGGTTCAACAAAATATAACACAGCAATGGTTTAGCTAACTGAAAAGGATATTCTTTGTTATTCAAGATATGTTTTATCCACTGTAAAATAAATGGCCAGGATTCTTGCTTTTCTCTTAGAACCGATATAAATGGATGAACTGGAGAAGAAAACGAATAAGGACATACGTATCTTTTATTCAATCTTTCTTGTTCTGCAGCCTCAAATAACAGAATTCTACCAATAGCATCAATAATAGGTCCAACTTGCTTTGCAGATAGAATAGAAGCGTTGAATTCATCTATAGCCTTGGAAGGATCTAGTTTACCTTTAATCGTTAAATAAGTTAATGCTTTGCAACATAATTTACTAATTATAGGCGATTCGTCTCCGCAGTTATCCCACAAAACGGCCAATTCTGGTATTTGTTCATCCAAAACATTTTCTTTTAATAAATCGTCCACAATTTTGGTAATTATTCTTGTTTGAAATGAAACATTATTAAACTGTACTTTCCTATAAAAGTTTTCTTTCTTAGCTTTTAATTTATTAATCGAAGACATGTTAGTTATTAACGAAATTCAATATTCCCACGCGAAAGCAGACATTTTTATTTTAAACGCCCTCTAGTAACTAAACTAGTCACGATGATAAAATTAATAAATTTTTAAGAATTTAGTATTTATTAGCTTATATTAAATTAATAAAACTAATTCAAAAATATTAATTAAATTAATCGAGTAAAACAAAATAAAATATAAAAGCCAGCTTGTAATAACTCATTTCAAAATACGTTGTAAATTATATAATAAACGAGCAATTATTTATTGTGACATGGTCACAATGCCGGGTTGCAATTTTTAATCATATTTTTCATTTATTTAACTTAAAATACAGTATTATAAAGTACTTAAAGTACTGTATATGCTCTCCACCTCAAATTAGTAGTAGCTTGCCCCTGTATATCATACTTTTCCTTTAACAATAGAGTCGTGCCGGTCTAACACTTTTTACGGAAAAAATTTTGAATTAAAAAAACGGTTTGCATCGGACCTCCCAAAAGTAAAATAATAATTGATAGGCTTAAAAATCCAAATTTTTAAAGATGCTTCTTCCAATCTTTCACTACTATAAAAGTATTTCATTTTCATATGCAGGAATGAAAGTATGTCAAGGACTTAATTTTTTTGTTTTCGTGAGAGGAACGGGATCCGACATATCCGACATATCACTACCCGAAAAATTCCTGGGGTCTTTTTATCTCGGGTCTCCCAGAGTGGTAGGCCAAAGTGGAACTATAAATAATGAAAGGACAGAGAATAGTCAACCACTAAAGCTAATACTTGTGCTCGCAGCATGATGGTCATCAATCACATTGTATATATATGAAACTCATTACGGAGCCCTAAAGTCATTAATTTAATTTTTATGTATTTTTATGTATAGTATTAATTTCATTTTATGCAAACAGATGAGCTTTGATGTGCTATATTTCATGTTCGGAATGCTTTATTTCATGTTTATTTCATGTTCGGAATGCTTTAGGGTTTCGTAATGGGTAAAATAATTATTTTCATTGACAAATCTTTGTGTTTACTATTCGTTGTGTTCGCATCTACATCCATATCTACATATAACCTAATCTATACATTGACTGCAATAAATTCACCCGGCCGCCCCATAAAGGTTTGACCGAATCTATAATGGGCTTGCTACAGAAAAGGCTTCGCAGTGCCTGCAGGCGGAGAGTTTAAAAAATACATCTTTACTAATAATGTTTCGACAATCGACTGCCGACGATTTCTATTTAATACTGTTAAAATATGCAAACTTGGATTCGTCGAGTGTTAGTTTGAGTATAACATCCGAGTAAAAGTGAAAAGACTCCGCGAGTCCAAGTCCGAGTAATCTGAATGGAAATATCCTCAATTAACCATATATTTTTTATTTATATTGCTTGAATTAAAATTTATTGGAGATATGCTCCTGGATTCTCCAGCAGCAGCGCCCAAAGACTATGAAAAAGGAGGCATAAATTATAAAAAAAAAGGCATCGTGCATTAAGCAAGGAGCTTCAAACGCTATGATTCAACGTCCGATCAGCGCTCTTACAAAATGGCGCTGGTTGCATTCGGGACTAACTTTGGCCTTGAAAACAAAGAAAGGGGATCAACAAACAACAAAGTTGCATTGGTCAATGGACAAACATCGTTTATTAGTTTCTTTTATTTTTACAGAATAGACTAGAAGTCACAAATTTTCTGATGTTTGGGTCCCCTTGGGAATTAGGAAAAGGGAAAAGGGGAAGCACGAGCCCCAATGTAGCGGCGTCCCTGTTTGCCAGTGTTAAATAATGGCAAATCAGAGATTAATATATCTTATAACATATTAGTGAAAGTGTAAAAGTTTGCACTATCCTTTGTGCGAAATAACAGTAAAACAATTTCTATTGTTATGTTGCAAAAGAAAAAAGAGTTGCAATTAATTAAAAAAATGTAATTAAAGGTTCAAAAAATGCAGGCCAAAAATAATACAAAATAAAATAAATAAATAAATAATTATTAAAAATAATTATAAAAACTAAAACTAAATTAATACTAATTAAATTAACCTAAAACTAATAATTAAGTTTAAAAAGAACAATTAAAACTGTGGCCTTTACTCCAAAACCGAAACCGAAACTAAAATAAAATAAAATCAATTAAAAGTTAAAACAATGTTTTTTTAAAAACCGTTTAAAAGTTGTTTCGAAATTTTCAAACTGTAAATAAAGTTAATTTTTAAATTTACGTTGTGTGCGGCGGTGATGGAACATTTTGCTTTTAATGTACTGTACAGTACAGTACTGTACGTACAGAATACATATTATAAATAAAAATGTAATAAATCTCAAAAATTAATTAAGATAATAAAAATTTTAACAAATTTACCGATTAAAAACGTAAAATAAACAGTGTCAATGTATTATCAAAAACTCGTATCGACACTCCAAACTCTCGTGTACTGTACAGTACGTAAGAAAACTTCGTACCTTTGGCAACATTGAATATACTACAAAATTGAGGCAATTAATAAAGATAAGAAAAGTTCGACCGCCTTCAATACTGACGTAATCTTCGTATATAATTAACATATGAAGATTGCGTCTCTTTTGGGGACTGGTGTTGGTCGGATAACTGAAAAAACGGATAACCGAAAAGTATGAAAAAATACATTATTAGTATAGTACAGCGATTCCCAACCTGTGGTACGCGTACCCCTAGGGGTACGCGATAGGTTGTTTAGGGGTACAGAAAAAAGTTAGTTATTATAGCAGAAAAAATAATATATTATGTATCACAAACTAATAGTATTAAAAAATTATTAGGTAAAATATGTTCCTTGCAACAATCATAACTTTTTATACATTTTTTCATTTATTTTTTTTTCTTTAATTTAAAGTTACAATATGTAAAATTAACAATACAGGTACTCACTAAATTTCTTAAATGAGGGGTACAATCTAGAGATATGACATGTCACGGGGTACGCTAATGAAAAAAGGTTGGGAACCACTGATATAGTATATTAGTATATCTCATGTAATTAGTATACAGTAGAGTCTCGAAAACTCGGCACTCGATAACCCGGCAGTCCGGATAACTCGGCCACACCCTGGCAGGGCAAAAAAATCCTTCATTTTCATTATAGACAGCTTTATGCTTCATAAAGTATTTTTCTGAGGTCTGTCTTATCAGGTAAATTAATGTACACAGTGTATTCATTAATTTTCATTTTCATGTAGTAAAGGCTCTATGCCTTCACAAAGTACGTACTTTTCCTTTGTTTAAGGGTATTTGGGCAGTTCATTCTCTGTTATATTCTCAAGTAAACAATACATACAAGTACAGTACAGTATTTTCTGAGGAAACACTCATACGTATTTTTTTAACCCCATTCCCGATAACCCGGCATTTTCACAAACTTGGCCACCCTTCGGTCCACATTAGGTCGAGTTTTCGAGACTCTACTGTATTAGTATATTGCTATTAACCTACTTCGCGTTGATTTTTCATCGATGTTAAGCCTAACAAAATTTTTTTAAATAATAATCGTCGCTATTGTGTCGTTAAAAATTATTTTTAAATTATTTTATTGCTTACAAACAAACAACCACTCATAATTAGAAAATTAAGCCTCGTTTAAATACTGGCATCCCTTTCATGATCGAGCCAGTGTTGCCAGCTAAAACACCAAAAATTTAACGAAAATAATATTAAAGTAGCCAAGACATAGCCAAACATTATAGCGCCGCATCACCAGAGGACATTTGAATTTGCCGACTAGAACGCGGTCAGTTAACCGATGTGAAGGTTGATCGGAAGTCGGATAATCGATGCTCTACTGTATTCTAATTATTTTATTTTTATTTTTTTCGGAAACCTTAATAATATTCTATCGAACGAAAGATTTGATGAGAAATTTCTACGTAAGACTTTAACCGTTGAAAGCTTGTTTACCTTTATCATTAATTATTAAAAACTAAATTTCAACACATTCTCAATAGTCTAGCAAAGGGTCGACAAACCATAGCTCTGGAACCACACGTGCGTGATTCTTTGAGAATTACCAATGGTTCTCGATGCCCACTCTCTCATTAGATGGAGATAAGGTAGTTTCACTGATAAGATAAATCAGCAGCCAGTAATGCGCATTACGATGTATACTACGTCAGATTTATATTCTGTATTCGTCGGTTAAAAACAAGATAGTACAGCATTTTTTCATTAATGGCCATCTGCTTTGTACCATATAATCAATTTTCTAGGGATCGCGTTTAAAAATCATGTTGTTAAAGGAGTTCTTATGTAGTACAGAGTTAAAGCTGTACTACATAAGAACTCCTTTACATTAATTAGATAAACGAAGTTTTTCATAATACAGTAAAACGAAACGGTTATGAAATGAAAAAGCACGACTTGACAGTATGATAAACAACAGAATTAGCTTTAAACGCGGTATTAATAAAAGAATTCTGAACTGCAATGATCAGGAAAAAAAATAAAAATAAGTGAAATGTTTGTGGCGTAGTAAACACTAGTATTGTGTTTTATTCCAAAGACACATGACAAATTTTCCATCAAATTCTCCATCCTTTATTAGTTGAGTCGACAACTAATAAAGGATGGAGAATTTGATGGAAAATTTGCCATGTGTCTTTGGAATAAAACACAATACCAGTGTTTACTACGCCACAAATATAAAACAGGACACGGTTTCAAAAAACAAAAAAGTGAAATGTTAATAAAAGTACTTGAAAAAGTAATAATAAATGAAAAAAGTGATAGTGTAAAGAGAATTACAGCATTTGGTAACGAAGTTTCGTTACCAACTGTGCCTTTATGCTGTAATCTTAGAAAGGATGATTACATATGGTACTTAGGAATTTTTCTTTTATTTTTAACAGGGCGGTGGAGTCGGAGTCGGGGGATTTTTGAAGACTCCAACTCCTTTTTACTTTCCCAACTTGTTATGTATATAAAAAACGAAAAAGTATTTAAACTTAATGAATATTTTACTCGTATTAACATTCACAATCTTATAATCGAGATGGATTATTAATAATAATAGAGGAGAAGGTGGTATTATGGA